AAACTTGGTTGATACTGAAGAGCAATTTAATTTTGAAACTGATGTTCAACCACAACAACCAGAGGGAAATCATCCTATTGCACATTGCCGATTGAGATTCCAACACATCAACGACGATCTATGCAAGGTAGTATTAGAGGTGGTATAACTAGTAATAGAGGATGAGGGCAAATACCACGAAGAAGGGCTGTTATGGACACACATCTATCTAATATTGAGTCATATCTTGCAACTATGCAAACTCCAATTCAGATGCTCAATGCACGTAGCCAAGCGAATAAAGATTATGAGCGTGAATCATGGTTACAATTGAATGAGTTACAAGATATAGAGAAATTTACAGATTTTTCGTGGGCGTCATCAGAGATTTTAAGAGATCCATTTGAGCAAAAGAGGTTTGTGTTACTAAATAGTAAACAAGATAGACTTCGTTTTCTAGAAGGGGTGACAGGTTATGATCATAGTGGTACTTTTCCTGGTAGTCCATGGAAACGCCAATTCAGTGGCTCTAGTGGACCACATAGTAGAGGATCATTTGGTAGTGGATCTGGTTCTCCAAGCGTAGGAGGGTTTGCACAGTTCAACAATGCTGGATTCTCAAATATTGGAGGCACTTCAAATTCTGGTGTTGATGGTACTTCAAACGTTGGAGGGTATTCACAATTTGTTAGTTCGGGCTCTCCGAACAAATTTAGAAGAAGAGAAGGATTTCAAGTTTCAAACACTAACCCACAATTTAGGACATCGTCTGCTGCTGAGTTACTCGAACGTTTCAATCTTTCATATTTTAATCGTATATTTGGAAGCAACAATAATAATGGAGAAAAATAAGTTATTTGAAATAACAAAATTATAGTTTTGTTCAGCTTCTTTGAATTATCCATGTTTTTGTATTTGTTTAATTTTAAATAATGTATTCCTATTTTGGTTCAGGTTCCGCGCGTTATCGAATTATATTCACGTGGATTACAAAATCTGACAGAGGATGAGCTACTTGAACTAATTTTTCTGGAGCACATGGATATCATGGAAGTACTCCTCAGACTTGTGATAGATTACTATAAAAAATATTATTATCGAAAACCAATGGGAGCTGAATGGGGCTTAGGCTGGTGCAACATTGAGAAAAGAATTTATAATTATCCAAGGGATTACTTACATCTTTTGAGGATGCGCATAGAAGTGCTCACACGTTTATGTGAGACATTACGCACAGACTTTGGAGTAAGAAGCACAAAAAACATATTGGTGGAAGAAATGG